CCTTCCTCCTCTTTCTCCTCCTTCTCCTCCTCCCCTTCCTCCTCTTTCTCCTCCTTCTCCTCCTCCCCTTCCTCCTCTTTCTCTTCCTTCTCCTCTTCTTCTTCCTCCTCTTCTTTCTTTTTGAGGGGGAGGCTCACAAGGGTAGAGAGTGGACCTGGTAGGACTGGGAAGTGCCTGTGATCAAGGTGCATGATGTGAAATTCCCAAATAATCAATAAAAATATCATGGAAAAAAGGTACAAATATATTTAGAAAACCCTCATACTTTTATGAAGACAAGAAAGAGTCATCATAGCATGGTTCATGGGTTCTTCTCTCTATCATCCATCTTTGTCTGTCTCTTAACATGCAAATACACATACAGAAAAACCAACTATTTATCAAGAATAATCTATGATTTCCAAGTGAGATGAAATATCTCATTATTCACAAGAAAAAAACAAAATGAAAATGCATTAACTTGGTCAATAAATTCTTAGCATTCACATGACTTTTATCAAAATTTGAAGCTTCTATACTAAAGTGCAGCCTATTGTAAACTCTATCAGTTTAAAATGCATATACACTTTAACATGCCAAAATATTCATTTGGACTTTATTTTCCTTTCAACACTCTTTCTTGTCAATCACATTAATTATAAATAAAGGTCTGCTAGCTTTTGCAGCAGCATCCTCCAGAGGCGTTACATACCTTCCACAAATCTGAAATATAAAACTTGGCAGAGCCATGCACACCTTCCCTCCAGGCACGGTATCTGGAGTACCAAACCAGCCATGGATTCAGTTCATAGCCCACAGCTGGGAATCCTTCCTTTGCAGCTGCGATCACCTGGACAGAGACAGGGGTTAGCAAAAGAAAGAAGTCCTCTTGCCAGAGAGTTCACTATTTATGGTTTATAACCCTAAAACATCCCACTAAAAGGTACTTCTTCTGGGTTATTGAGGAATGGATCAGGGAGAGGAGAAATATGGTAGTTTTAGTAAGCCCCATAGGCTCATATAATTGAATACTTGGTCCCCAGTTGGTGAAACAGTTTGGGAAGGATTAGGAAGATTGGCCTCATTCAAGGAGGTGTATCACTAGGGGCAGACTTTGAGGTTTCAAAAGCCCCTGCCATTCCCAGTTAGTGCTCTATCTACCTTTTGGATATCGACCAGATGTGAGCTCTCAGCTATTGTTCCAGCAGCCTGCCTGCAGCCATGGACAAAATTTCACAATGAAACTCATTATTTCCCATAATTAATATAGGCTCAAAAAAGGCTACTATTGGGAGATGGCTCAGGGGTTAAGAGCACTGACTGTTCTTCCAGAGGACCCAGGTTCAATTCCCAGCACCCACACGGCAGCTCACAACTGTCTGTAACTAACCCTCTTATAGGAGATCTGACAACCCCACAGACATAATGCAGCCAAACACCAATGTACATAAAATACAAATAAATTTTTAAAAGGCTACTACTCCCTTTGATGAGAATGCTATGTAAAAAAAATGTTATATCTGAAGTTCTATAGTTCATGAACAAGACAACAGCCAACCCAAAGCTTTCTGCATTTTGTCAAAGATTTCGCCTCGCGGAGCAGGAGACAAACATTCAGGGTTGTGTTGGACAACTGTATCCCCGATTACGGCTCAGCTAGCTCTAGGTGGTGACAAACGATGGCTGAAAGTCTGCACATCTCTCCACCAGAGGCTGGCAGAGCAGAGGGGAAAGTGAAAATAACAGAGAACATGGAATAAAAACAACCTGTCCAAGCCCACAGCACTCATGAACTCACAGCAGCTGCGGCAGCCTGCACAAGAGCTGCACAGGGTCAAGCCAGCCAACCTTCTAGCTTGGAATGGAGAAGTGCACACAAGCCCCATCCCAAACCGGACGAAAGCATTCCTATGATGGGCAGTGATGACAACTTAGCAATGGGACTCTTAATATCACAGAACTAAAAATGGTTAAGATGGTAAACATTATAGTTGGTAATATTTTGCTACAGTGGAAGAGATGTTTTTAAAGTGGAGAGCATTTTCAGTCTCTGTCATGAATCAGTCTCTACCACAAACCCAGTGGCCACGGGACTACTGAAGGTGCACAGCTCTGCAGTCTGTACACCACATGCTGCTGCACACAGCCTTTCCCCTTGCCATCTCCACTCCAGCAAGATGTGGCCACCGTCGTCACTGAGGGTCACCTGCCAGTCAGAGACCTTTCCTTTACTAAGAGTTCAGGCTGAGATCACAACATGTTGAAGCCACTAAAATTCTAATTCTCTCTCTCTCTCTCTCTCTCTCTCTCTCTCTCTCTCTCTCAGATAAGGTCTCATGTAGCCCAAATTCTCTCTATATAAGAGACTGGCATTGAAATCATGATCCTCCTGCCTCCACCTCCCAAGTACTGGGATCACAGCTACATGAAACTGTGCCCGCCCTCAATTCCTCTTAGTCAAGCAGGGCTTCAGCAATGACATTTCTTATTTTAAGTCTCTATCAACTCCTAGGAGTCATTCCTTACTCACATATCAATACAGAGAAGCATAAAGCAAGCAGCTAAGCTGCAAGAGTAAAGATGATTACACTCCATGACTCAACATGTTTCTTGTAATCATGCCGCCTTTACTGAACCAAAACTTCTAATAGACTATTTGATAATTAGCAATTAACTGCTCCTTTCTATCTGGCATGTTTACAGAGAACTGTTCCTCCAAGGGGAATAAAATCAATCAGAGAAAAATGAACTCTAAACACACGCTGGTGGTCCAACAGTTTAGTCAAACACAAAATGAAACACACACTTTTCAGACTGTCACATATGGCAAATCTTTGCAGAAGCCTCATACAAAATGTTAACAATTTCTGGTTCCAAACCTTCAAACATTTGACATAACTCACAATCCGCCCATCGCCACTGCCGATGTCCACCAGGGATCCTCTTCGGTGCTGCAACATCTTCACGACATTTTCAATCTGCTTGGAAGTTGCAGGCACAAACGGCAAACAAACCTTGCGGAGGGCCGGTGTGATGAATGGTGTGGCTACAGCATACACTGTCACCAGGGCACCACCAATGATCCCAGTAAGCAAGAACCCCCAATTGCTCTTCTTCAAATTCTCTGATTCCAGACTTGTAGGAAGAACACGGCCTGACTGCCTTTCTTCCTCAGGCATTTCTAGGTATAAGCCATTGTTAACAGAAAAGTGGAAACACATTGAGCACACAGTAAAAACTGAGGCTACACCTTCTCATCAACGCCTGTGACACCCTGACTCATCCCTTGTATTATGGTTATACTCGTGTGTGCATGTGTGCATATGCAGATGCCCACAGAGGCCAGAAGAGGGTGTCCGATTCCCTGGAACTGGAGGTGTCTGTGGCTGCCTGACATGGGTGATGGGAACCGACCTTGGGCCCTCTAACCTGCAACTGCAATGAATCGAATGTATCTTAAATATCCTCCTTTTTATCCCACCTTCTAATGTGTCCCTAGTGTAAGACAAAGCTGAAGGGAGGAGAAGCTGATTAATGACTCAAAGCACAGCTAAGAGTCAGAGGGTGTGATGCCAGCTCTGTCAGTGCTAACAACGTGACCTCACAGGCCTCCTGATGAACCTCCACCTCCATACACTGTGGGTCCCAGAGCTGCTGGGAGAGTGAATGAGTGGGGTGCAGGTAAGGCACACAGGAAGCAGAGGCAAAAAGGAAACAGAGGCACACAGGAAGAGACACATAGGAAGAAGACACACACTGGAAGCAGAGGCAGGCAGGAAGCACAGGCACCCAGTGTCCGCTACTTATACATTATTGGAATAATGTGGAACCCCACAGCAAACAGACCATTGCCGTGGGTAAGAATGAAAACACACGAATCCATTGGAGGCAGGAAACGGTCAGAAGAGACAGCAGGTGGCTGCCATTGAGACATGACTGGTCAGGGCTATCAGAAAGGCCTTCAGGAGGCCCGCAGTGCAGGTGCTGGAAGAAGTGTGCACAGCCTCACGGACTTATGGTGGTACACACTTCTCACCGTGGACCAGAGTTCAGAGGTTTGCTGTGGGTTTGTAGGGCTGCATCCTCCAAGGCCTTTAGACTAAGGAGCAATTCCTTTACATTTCCAGCTTTCAAAAGCTACCTACATTGATTTTAACCCCTTAGCACTCCAACCTCTGCTTCCATCCTGCTTTTTTTTTTTTTTTTTTTTTTTGACAACAGTGCATCCACCTACTTAGTCCAAGATAATTTCTGATACAAGATCTTCAGCCACATTTGCACAAGTTACATCAGTCAGAATGCAGATATATTGGGGGACCATTCTACACACTACACCCATGAACTGTGACAATCTATTCTGCCGAGTTAAAACTGTGAACATAGGACACAACAGAAGCTGCCACACAGCAGCAGACCATAATCCAGGACAATGCTCAATGGCATAACTTTACTCTCTTGCACTTTCAATGCCCTAACAGTGACTTTTAAAAAAGTGTCTTTGTAGTAGAGAGCCAACTTGAGGAGGGGAAGGAAGCCTGCTGAGGCTGCCTTTTGGTGTTTGATAGTACCTTTAGGTATCTGATAGCAGAAACCATCAGTAATTTCAGTTACAATTCTGACACTGGGTAGAATATGCTAAGCTCATTGCACACTGACTTACTTGAGAGACACAGGGCTCATCTGCTGTCTTCATGCAGCAGTCTCCTGTGAGCACCACAATGGAACACAGCACCGGTCTGAACACATTTAAGACTCATCCTGGAGTCTCAGAGCCTAAGCTAGCTGTTTAACATCTGGGAAGCTGCTACTGTGGCTTAATAACTACAATATTTTTACTATTTTTTTTTTCCTGCACAACTCAAAACTTAAGAAAAAAAAAAAAAGAGTCAAGAACGCTACTACCCTTCTCTGATTACCACGTTTACATTAACATGCACAAGGTATAAACTAAAAGACTGAATAACAACTGTCAACTGCCATCCTGAGACCACCATTGGGAGGAGTGGAGGAGGCACCGCTGTTTTTTCTTTTTGAGACAGTCTTGGTATGCAGCCCACACTGGCCTTGAATTTATACTGATCCTCTTGCCTCAGCCTCCCAAGTTCTGGGATTCAGGCATGTACCAGCACTCAGTCTGGAAACCCAGACTTTTAGGCTTTACTTGGACAGAATACAAATACAATTTGTCCATTTAATGTGTACATCTCAAGGGGGTTTAGTATAGACATAAACAAGCCTCAACAGTCATTTTATTGCCCAAGAACCCCTTTGTCCTTCAACTGTCATCTCCCCACCCACCCTCTGCTAGCTGTCCTAAGTAACCATTACTTTTACTCTCTATATCAACTTTAAACTTACTTAAGTGTCTTGCAAAGGTAACTTATATCAAGTAGCTTGCAAAGGCCAGGGAGATGGCTCAGTGAGTAAAGTGTTTGTTTTTCAAGCATGGTGACCTGAGTTCAGTTTCCCAGCAACCACACAAAAGCCAGGCATAAACTCAGGTGGATCTCTGTGACTGGCTGGGGAGCCTGCCTAGCAAAACTTGCCACTAGGCAAGTTCAGTGAGTGACCTTGTCTCCAAAAAAAAAAAAAAAAAAAAAAAATGAACTGGAATACAACCAAAATACCTTATGCCAAACTTTGGCCTACACAGGTAAACATGGAACTTCTGTACACACATGACTATACAAATACATACATGAGTATTCATACATATACATATAAATAATAGTATGTGGTCTTCTAACCACCTTCTAAAGGACATTTAAAATGTCCATGCTGTTCCTTATCAGTACTTGATTCTTTTTTTGTGGCTGAATATAATTCCATCATAGACAGATCCCACTTTTTAATCAATATGGACAATGACAGTTAAACACATATGTCAGATGGCCCAAATTATAGCTCATCTGTATACACGTATACCCTTCCACAAAACCAGAAGGTATACAATAATGAGGTGCTGGTCTCCAGGGTTTTCCAGCTGGTCTTTGGGAGCAGTGAGGAACCAACTGAGGCAAACAAAGGATGTGAGAAATGTTATACTATATACAAGCATCTAGAGGAACTTAGGGGAAATAGAAACTATAAGCAAAAAATTTAAACTAAGGGCAAAAGCATCAAACCTTGGGAGCAGGCATGGAAGAAGAGTGGGAATGGAGTGGAAGCCTAACAGAAGGGCAGGTCTGTGACACAAGTGGGAGTCCATTCTCTTCTTCACCATGAGAGACCAAGATCAAGCACAGGTGATCAGGCTTGGCAGCAAGTGCCCTTACGTGCTGGGTCACCCTTGAAGTCTTTCTCGAAACCAGCCTGATGAATGAATAGAGTGTGGTTTATACACACAACGGAGCTTTATTCAATTTTTAAAACAAGAATGACTCAAAAAGGCAAATATCACATTTTTCTCTCAGATGTAGAATCGTGTGTGTGTATATGTGTATAGGAAGAGATTCAAAGGGAGGAAATAAAAGGCAACAAAAGAGACACAATACTATGTCTTCTCCTATGTGAAACCTAGATTTTACAATATATAATGTATGCATAACTATTTGAGGAACAACAATCACCACCAAGTGAGAAGAGTGGGAAAGAGAGTGGGGTCAGCAAGGGGCAATGACATACATGAAAATGCTATGATGAAACTTTATTTTCTATGTTAACTTTTTAAAAACCCTTTCTTGTACTGGCATAATGTCAATCTGCGTCCTTTGGTTACATATCCACTATCGATACCAGGAGTCATCACAGACAGCGCTCTGCCAGGAAATAAGATGCAGAGGACTCCATTAGATATTTTCCATTCTCCTCAAATTAACAAGATGGATTGCAGAATCCACCACTTGAAATTTTTAAAACCCAAAAGACACTAGGAGCATCACTGAGTCTTGGAAACAGAGGGCTACACATCAGGAAAGATTAATAAATCAACTGTAAGACAGCAGGCTGGCTTTCGAGTCTGTGCTGTTACATGCGTTCTAATTCTAGTACTTAATAAAAACCGATAATGACACAGCAGGGGCAGTTTCTGTTCTGTGGGATACGGGTGGAGAGCGTGGAAACTCATTACCAATAAATCTGCGCTTATAAAATGTATCGTGATTTCCGGTAGATGTACAATGCAATTAGCGGTACGGGTAGAGCAGGCCGCGCTACTTTGTCTCCACCTAGAAGTATAGCATGGGCAAGGCAGGCTCTGTGCAGCGAGGGGAGTTCAGAATACTGCGTGCTGCCCACAAGGCGCTGCTCTCCCTGAACACTTCCAGCAACCTTGTGAAGTAGGCATTGTTATTACTGCTATTTTTTGCAGACAAGAAAATAAAACCGCAGATTCAATAACTTCAAAGCAGCATCTAGTCTACGAGAGGGCTGATTCCAGCAGCCCTAGGAACGGGCTGAAGGTTGAGTCCTGCGCACGGAAGGGCGGGCAGCCAAGAAAACACAGGCAAAGGCGTGGAGGACGGCGCAGAGCTCCGCACCCACCGCGGCCACACCCGCCGCCGGCAGGGCGCCCCTGGCCGCCCATGCCACACGCGAGCCCGAGCCCTACACGCACACGCGCGCAGCCAAGTGAGGTGCACCGCGCCCTGCTGGTCAAATCTCACCTCCTCTCTCCATTGCGCGAAACTTCCGGGGAGACCGGAAGTGGGATCTACCAACGTCTCAGAGCTGGGGGGGGGGGAAGGAGAGAAAAAAATGTCTTAAGGAAATTAGCTCCCCGCTGCGACTCTGTATTCAAAGACTTCCAAAAATCAAAACCTTTAATCAGTGACTGAATTAGATATCGTGATAACATTTGGGTTATAGACGTTGTCTTCTAAGTTTAGAATACCCCCTAGGTTCCTTGAGGATAAACGTTCCCACGAGCGGCGGATTCCAGAAGGTACTCTGTGGTGTTAAAAAAGTCACGGTTGGAAAGTTAAAAAAAAAAAAAAAAAAAACCCGCTGTCTGCACTGCGCATGCGCGAGACTTTGCGTCCTCTCGTGAGAAGGTATCGTCTCTATTCTGGAGTCGTCCCAGCCGGCTATTGAGAAGCGCTGGTTTTCGTTCGTCCACCATGGCGTCCGTAGGGACCCTCGCCTTCGATGAGTATGGGCGCCCCTTCCTTATTATCAAAGACCAAGATCGCAAGTCCCGTCTCATGGGGCTTGAGGCCCTCAAGGTAACGGCCCGGAACGCGAGGCAGCGGGATGAAGGGAGGCGGCCGAAGCGCGCCTGCGCCGGCGTGGAGCAGTGTGGCCATGTGCTGGCCCAAAA